TGCACTAATTTAACCCATGTACAAAAAGTACAATCACTATTCACTTAGGGTGGTCTGCTTCTCCTCAAATGAAGACTAACATTTGACCTGTGCCCTAGGAAAAGCCACTGTTCATTGATGAGGCATTAGTTCTGATGAGACACTTGGAATGAGCATGCTGCAAAATCTTCAAAAATTATTAACAACCATGGTACATAGTACTAACAAGCAGTCACATTCATCCTCCAAATTCTACCACCTGCTGTGAAGTAGAAATCTGTGGATTGAATTCACTGCAGTCAGCTAAGCTCAACAGTCTTTTGCCCCAGCCACAGCAGCACAAACTGAAGGAATAACCATGGGATAGGCAGGAGACTTGACTGAACCATTTTGTTTGTTATCCTTGCAGTTTGGACCTTGGGAGATCTCCTTTTTGCCAGGATATCTTGCTGTAGTTGCCCTCCCCTTGAGAAAGATGCTAAACTGGCTGTTTATCATCTTATCTGAAAGGGGAACTGAATATCTTCTAACAGATATTCAGAACAGAACAGAACAGAAATCCGGGGGAGAGGGTGTAAATCTCGCGCCGGGCCGTACCCATGTCCGCAGCAGGTCTCCAAGGTGAACAGCCTCTGGCATGTTGGACCAATGTAGGTAAGGGAAGTCGGCAAGCCGGATCCGTAACTTCAGGATAAGGGATAAGGTGGAATTTGCTCCTATCCTTTTCCTAAACTGAGAAAGAATTGCACTCACCTGACTAGAGATACTTCATGAGAAAGACTTTTTTTCTGTAAAGGTATCTGGACCATATTTCCTACTCAACAGAGACTCTAAAACTTTATAGAATCAGCTATTGGCAGCACTCCTAGGATATTTTTTCCATCTGCACATACTTCTAAAAATGTCTAAACCAGTCCAACTATTCTCATCTGAGAAGCCTGACATCCGATGTACGTTAGCACAGAAAAAAAAATCCAAAATGCAAACTCAAAAAAGGAAAATAAATTCTACTGGCTTCTTGTTTGAATTCTCTGCAAATAACAGGAGGAAATTTTACAGTGTCACTTTATGTAATTCAGTTAGAAAATCTGACAAGGGAATAGTATGGGTTTCAGGGATAAAGGGCAGATTATAAGATTTTTTTTGTGCATGATTCCTGTGTATTTAGGTCCATTACTCAACTGCAGACAAAAACAAAGCAAAAACAGGTAGAATCCTAGGAGCCATACTTTCTTGGCAGCCCTGGAATCAACAGAACATTTAGCTGTGGGACAGCTTCCCAAGGGAGGAAGAATTTCCATTTAAGTATTTTGTTCCAGTCATCAGTCTCCCCTTATTTCCTCTTCCAAATCTTTACTCGTCACACACCTTCTCTCCTTTGCCTGAGAAAGAAGTATAGGTAAACAAGATACGCCCCAATGCTACTTCCAATCTGAGTTTGGGCAGCACCTGCCCTCAGCATGCTGCCACTATAAGAGTGGTATGTCAAAACTCAGTGATTAAAAAAAAAAAAGAAAGATATAATTGCTAACCTCAAGTCAATCTGAATAGAACTCCCAATTCACAGTTACAAAGTGAACAGAGAGGAAGATGTAATTCTGAAATATCTTAAATAAATATTACTCTGAGCATTAACACTGAAGTAATGACTTCACAACTTCTCTTTTCAAGCGTAATTATTAGAAAGGGCCCCTCCTCTTACTGGCTCCAGTGATGATTTTTTTGCTTACCTCTAGGTAAGTGGCTCTTGAATTATACTTCTGATTTCTGTCATATCAAACACTTTTTTAAGTATGCATTCTGTCTCCAAATAGAGTAGTATCTAAATATTTACTTCTGAAACTGACCTTGAAGACTGATGCCCTGCAAAGTTTTATCAAATTTTCTAGATATTAGACCCTAGCATTCTAGATCACAGGTTCTGCTGGTATTTGCTATAGACAAATAAAATATGACTTCCACACTAAGCCTACATACTCCTTAAAATCTTCAGGATATTTGCTTAAATCTTAGAATCATAGAATCATAAAATAGCCTGGGTTGAAAAGGACCACAATGATCACCCAGTTTCAACCCCCTTGTCATCTGTAGGGTCGCCAACACTAGACCAGACTGCCCAGAGCCACATCCAGCTTGGCCTTGAATGCCTCCAGTGATGGGGCATCCACACCTACCTGGTCAATCTATTCCAATGCGTCACCACCCCCTGTGTGAAAAACTTCCCCCTAATATCTAACCTAAACTTCCCCTGTCTCAGTTTAAGACCATTCTTCCTTCTCCTGTCACTATCCACTCTTGTAAACAGCCATTTCTCTTCCTGCTCCTCCCTTCAAGTATTGGAAGGCCACAGTGAGGTCTCCCCAGAGCCTTCTCTTCTCCAGGCTAAATGAGCCCAGTTCCCTCAACCTTTCCTCATAGGAGAGGTGCTCCAGCCCTCTGGTCATCTTAGTGGTCCTCCTCTGGACCCGCTCCAAGAGCTCCATATCCTTCCTTTACTGGGGGGCCCAGGCCTGGATGCAGTACTGCAGATGGTACCTCACAAAGGCTGAGCAGAGGGGGACAATCACCTCCCTCTCCCTGCTGACCACCCCTTTTTTAATGCAGCCCAGAACACAGCTGGCCTTCTGGGCTTCAAGTGCACACTGCTGGTTCATGTCCAGCTTCTCATCCACCAGGATCCCCAAGTCCTTTTCTGCAGGGCTGCTCTCAAGGAGATCTTCCCTCAGTTTCTATAAATACCTGGGATTGCCCTAACCCAAGTGCAGGCACCCTGCACTTGGCCTTGTTGAACCTCATTAGGTTTTCATGGGTCTGCTTCTCCAGCCTGTGCAGGTCCCTCTGGATGGCTTCCGTTCCTTCCAATGTTTTGGATGCACCACTCAGCTCGGTGTCATCTGCAAACTTGCTGAGGGTGCACTCAATGCCATCATTTGTGTCGTTGATGAAGATGTTGAATAGCACCAGTCCCAAGACAGACCCTGAGGGACACTGCTTGTGACCAGCCTCCTCCCTGATACAGAATGGTTGATCACAACCCTTTGGCTGCATCCAGCCAGCCAATTCCTTACCCATTGAACAGTCCATCTTTCAAACCCATACCTCTCCATTTTAGAGAGAAGGATGTGGAGAGGGACCATATCAAAGGCTTTGCAGAGGTCCATGAAGATTACATCCGTCATTCTTCCTCCATCTATTGATGCTGTCACTCCATCATAAAAAGCCACCAGATTGGTCAGGCACGATCTGCCCTTGGTGAAGCCATGCTCACCAAGATCACCTCTTTGTCTCGTATGTGCTTAACATGGTAACCAGGAGGATCTGCTCCATGATCTTCCCAGACACAGAGGTGAGGCTCACTGGCCTGTAGTTCTCCAGGTCTTCTTTTCTCCCTGTCTTAAAAATAGGAGTAATGTTTCCCTTTTTCCAGTCACCAGGTATTTCATCCAACAGCCATGATTTTTTAAATATGGTGGAAAGTGGCTAGCAACCATATCAGCCATTTCTCTCAGAACTATGGGATGCACATCATCTGGCCCCGTGTATTTACATACATTCAGTTCCATGAGGAGGTCTTCAACTAGTTCCACTGTTACAGTGGGAAGGAATCTGTTTCTCTCACCCACACCTAGAGGTTCAAGGTCTTGATAGATATGGGGAGACTGACCACCAGTGAAGACTGAGGAAAAGCACTGATTGAGTACCTCAGCTTTTTCCATATCTGAGGAAGCCAGCTCTCCATCCTCATTTATCATAGGAGGAACACTCTCCTTGGTTTGTCTCCCTCCTGATAAATGAGGACAGAGAACTGGCTTCCTCAGACGTGGAAAAAGAAGGTAAAAGAACTCAGAACCTTCCTTGGCATGACAGGTTGGTGGAGACTATGGATCTGTAATTATGGCCAAGATCTCAAAGAGTTTAATCTTGATTAGGACAAATTCTACTCTCAGTTATAGCAGATAGACTATAGACTACCTCCAAGGGAAAGTTAAAGCCCACAGAACATTTCAAGATGAAGTTCTGGGCAATCTCCACAAACACAAAATGAGGTTCAAAAAGCAGTCATGACAATCTAAGAGTTTAATGTCATTAAAGGGCGAGGATTCCACTCCTCTCTCCTTGCTTCTCCAAACCCCTGAACTTCCCTTTCCTGTTCTTGTACTGATTTTGACATTCACTTTCTTTCCAACTCACTAATTTGACAAAATATATATATATATATCATTTTTGTTGTTGCTGCACTGGATTTTCTGCTAGAATAGTGAGCTCAAGGGCTCCTCGAAGAGAAGACATCATTTGCATATCTACCTGCAAATGGATCAAACCAGTTCAGGGCATGTAACTAGTGGGCACAAAGGGAAGGAAGAAAACTGGAAAGGAAGGAGGCAGGCCAGGCCCTTCTCTTTCTATCAGCAACAGGCTTTTAAGAACCATTCAACACAGGCCAGATGTGCTTTCACCTTCATTATTTCCACACAAGTGTCACCTTGATGCAAAATGCTCCCACTAAAGCAAACAGATCTGCCTGAATCTGTAATACAACTGGACTATATACTTTGTCCATCTAGTTGCAGATAGTTTCTCAGCATATTATAACACCATTCCCCATCTAAATAAACAAGCAAAGCAGCTCCCAACATCTGAAGTTAATGTGAAAGATTCAGTTCTCTATTTTCAGACTCAATGTCTTCCCCACTTTTCTCTTCCCTCTCTCCATGTTTTAGTTTGGAAATAAAATCTGTGTAATGGTTCTTCATACTAAACACAAACAATTCTACTTGCTTGGCATTCACCACGCCTGTTTTACTGAATAGGAAGGAAAAAATGTCATTAATTTGGCCATTATCATTAAACTGTATGGTAAGAGACAAGCACAATTTCAGTCTAGGCTAAAAATGTCAAAGCACTATTCTGTGAGGCTGACTTAAATTTTATCACAGCATATATAACTGGGGTACTTGCATAAACCATAATCCTGACTTAATGGTTATTTAAATGCATTAGAAAATTAGTTCAAAACAAACCTGGAGCACTGATAAGAAGGACTTTTCTTTCTGCTAGTCTTGCTGTGCCATTCAACTTGACAAAGGCATGAAACATCCTTCAACAATACAACAAGAGACTGAGGGGAAAAGAGAGTGTCCATTCCAAGAAATGTAGTCACACAACTCCTTGATTCAAGGAAGCAACTTTTTGTCAGTCTTCATTAGTAAGTTGTAAAGTGCTGAATTAACAGGATGAAGGTAATTTATCATTAGTCTTTCAAAAATATCTTAACTGTAAAATCCACTGCACTGGAAAGATTTGGTTTGGAAATAAAAGAAGGATGTGTTTTGGTGAAAGGTGATGCATTCCGCCCAAGTCCAAGGTATAATCCACACAGTGGTTATTTAAGTAGCAAGGCATGCCATGTCAGACTCTGTTGATCCCATCTATTTCCAGTCTATGGTAATTAAAAAACAATGAGCTCGGTACATAAATTGTACAGATACGTGAAGGTGACTGATGTATGTGCCAAAATAACCCAGAGTGTGGAATAAACATAGTATATATTCTACTTTCATGTGTTACTACTGTCACACCTATTCACTACCTAATGGTTTTGATCTGTTGTGCACTTGGATCAAATCTAGTAAGAGCAGGCAGTTTTTCGTTTTTTTTATTATTATTATTATTTTATTTTTTATTTTAGTCTCAAAAACAAAACTATAAAACTATAATATATGTGCTTCTTTTGGGGAGGACAGAAAGCACGAGGCAGAATATTTAGAAATTCTAAAACTGTAAGGTGATTAATAAAGTTATTTATAAAGAAGTGTATCTACAATGTTTAATAATTTAAGGCTCACAATGAACTAATATCTCATCAGTAATAAAAAATTTCTGTGCTTAAAGCACTTTTCATACTAGACAAGCAGATCTGTAGTGATCACAAGTGAAAAACTCTACAAGTGCTGATCTGCCAGCTTCCTAGTGCTTTAATGGAGTGATACGTCTCAGGAATAAGAAATTCCTTTTCACGCAAAAATGATGTTATATAGATACAAAATAAATTGGAATATTTTCAGTTTGAAACTACAGTACAAAACCCTCTCATTGTTCCCTCCCACTCCAAAATTCATTCATTCTCTGCACACGTCCCCCAGCTCTTTAACAATTTGCAGAAAATGTATTGATTACAAATGACCATTTCAAGCCAACTATGATTTGCTAATAAAAGTTTCTACAAATCAGATTTTGCATTTTCATAATTTACCAGCTCCTGCATAATAAAGAATAGTTTACATAATCTATTTTAAAAACAGGTGACCATTTGTGTCATGGAAAAAGAATATAAAAACATTTATTTCTGGAGGACTGCTCAGGACAATGATCAAATTATAAAATATAGCCTGATTTAAAGCAAAAAAATGAAAAACCAAGCAACAAAATAACTGGTAGGAAAATAGATAAAGTAGCAAGTTTCTGACACCAACAAATTCTGCTGCATCTTTTAACTACAATTCTCTCCTTTCCTTACAGGTCTGTTTCCCTGCTGCTGTCCAAACAGAGGGCATAGAGTGATTTTCTGAGATCTACATTACTTTTAGCTTTGATACTGTTTTTCTCTAAAGGGCTGGTGCTGCTTTTGAACCCTTCATTATTTTCCAAGTGCACAACAGATTTGTTCAGAGAGTTTTTACTGGTTCTTCTCTTTCCATCTACCCCAGTTACGCTGCCCTGAGCACTGCTGTGTTCTTCTTTGAGCATAGATTGATCCTCATGGTCAGTCTCTCGGTGGTAGAAGTAGTTGAAGTTGGACACAATAACAGGGACAGGCAGGGCAATGGTGAGCACTCCAGCTATGGCACATAAGGAGCCCACAATCTTGCCCCCCACAGTAACAGGTCGCATGTCCCCGTAGCCCACAGTGGTCATGGTCACCACAGCCCACCAGAAAGCATCAGGGATGCTGGAGAAATGAGACTCAGGATCATCAGCCTCAGCAAAGTAGACAGCACTGGAGAAAAGGATCACTCCAATGAAGAGAAAGAAGATGAGGAGGCCCAGCTCTCTCATGCTGGCTTTCAAAGTCTGTCCCAAAATCTGCAACCCCTTGGAGTGCCTGGAAAGCTTGAAGATCCTGAAGACTCTGACCAAGCGGATGACTCTGAGGATGGCCAAGGACATGGCTTGTTGCTGGCCCCCACTCCCATTGCTGCTGCTACCCCCAGGCTGCTGTTGCTCATTGGCCAATTCTGTGCCCAGGGTGATGAAGTAGGGGATAATGGCCACGATGTCAATGATGTTCATGATGTTGCGGGAGAACTCAGGCTTGCTGGGGCAGGTGAAGAAACGCACAAGGAGCTCAAAGGTGAACCAGATGACACAAGTGGTCTCGATGATGAAGAAGGGGTCAGAGAGGTTACTTGGTGACTGCATGGATGGAGTGTCTCCAGCTGTGGAGTTCAAACCCCCAGTTTGTGAGGGCAAAGACATAGGTATCTCTCGTTCATCCCTGAACTCAGGCAGAGTTTCCAGGCAGAAGGTGATGATGGAGATAAGGATCACCAACACAGAGACAATGGCAGTGGCCCGGGCTGAGCTGGAACTTTCAGGGTACTCAAAGATGAGCCAGACCTGGCGCTGAAACTCACTGTGGGGAAGGGGCTTCTCCTCCTCTCTGATGAAACCCTCATCCTCCCAGAAACGCTCCATGGCCTCCTTGCCCAGCTGGTAGAAGCGGATCTCATCAGCAAAGACATCAATGGAGACATTGACAGGCCGCCGAAGCTTGCCCCCAGACTGGTAGAAATAGAGGATGCCATCAAAGCTGGGCCGGTTGCGGTCAAAGAAGTATTCATTACGGAGCGGGTCAAAATACCGCATACGCTTATCAGGATCTCCCAACAGTGTGTCAGGAAACTGGTTGAGGGTGCCCAGCTGAGTCTCGAAGTGCAGCCCAGAGATGTTGATTAGAACCCGCTGATGGTGCATGGCGCCCCGGCTCACTGCTTTCATCTCCTCCTCCTCACCGGCCGCTGCCATGGTTATGCCCCAGTGGTGACCCCCCTCCTCCGCGAGATCCATTTCAGCAGCCGGCCGGAGGCGCAGAGCTTGTGGCTGCGGTAGTGGTCCGGACGCCGCTCGGACGTTGATGCTGCCCTCACTGCTGCTGCAGAGCCTCCTGCCGCTTCCTCGGAGGACCGGTGGGGACTTCTCCCGCTCCTCGTCCACCTGCGGCGGCGATGAGGCCGGTGGCGTACCCACCTTGCCGTCGCTCAGTCTTGCGACAGACGTGGACCCCGCGAGGCGGAGTAGCTCGCGCTGTCGCCAAGCCCCGGTGCTACCGCCGAAGCTGCCGGCCGTGGCATCCTCGCCGGCCGAGATGGCCCCGCCACCGCCGTTTTCCAGAGTCACCAGCGCGATCTCCATGGGGAGCAGCGGGAGTAGGCGGGCTCCACTGAGGTGGCGGGCATTCTGTGCATGCCGACTCGCCGCTGCCAGCCGCCTCCGGACGTATGGGCGGTCGCCCTATCCTGCCCGCTCCCCCTCAGTGCTCTGCTGCCGAGCGTGTCCGAGCGCGGCCCGGGGAAGCCGGCCGGGGACCCGGATATGAACGAGCGATCATTCTGATGGTTGACGTCAGCAAGAATCCCTTCTCCCCAGCGGTGGCGGCGCCAGCCTCCCCCGGTATCGGGCTGCCGCAGCACCCCCCGCCCCTCAGGTAGTACTGACCGCACCCGTGACACAACCCAGCTACTATGTGCCCTCAGCAGAGAGAATCGTGGTGTGACCCCACGCGGATATGTATTCCTTGCGTCGCGAAGGTCTCCGGCTGGAATTCCCGGGGCACCTCTCAAATGAAATCTAGACCTCCTCTTGATGCGTACCCCATTTCCCGGCCCCCACCGCTTAATGAGAACAAAGAAAGGAATGGGATCTGTTTTGCTTTGCTACCTTCCTTTCCCTACCCTTAACATGCAGCTCCAAAAGGTGCTTCTGAGGCCAGCAGATAGCAGCCGTTCCACCGGGCTGCCGGGTTATTATTTGCAATTTGGAGCCATAGTTTCCCTTTGATGAATTCTTAAACCAACATCTAAGGCTAGTACACTTCAAAATACATGCATTTTATTAAAGAAAAAGAATTGAAGAAGCTTTATATGATGACTTCAGTTACACTTCAGTAATATAATCAATGCTGAGGTCTTACTTTCTGGATTCAAACAGCGAACTTCAAGGTCTAGAGAACAATATTCTAAATATATATACAAACAACATAGGATTAAAATCTATACATACATATATATGCACAGCATCAGATGTAAAAGATAGTAAATGAAGAAAACATTTTTCCTTCTAGGTGGCATCACTGCAGTGACATTTGAATCCTTGCAGCAGTAATGATAGATTCATCACACCTAGATTTGCTGGGATTAATGAGTTTTCACTTAATGTAAACTCTGCATATGAAATATGCCTAAAGATATTATAAGCCATGCCAAAACAGAAAACCATAATTATATTGAATGATTATTATAAATTTTGATTTGTCTATGATCTATAATTTGCCTCTGAGAGCTAAGCACAGAATCACTGACCTGTTCTGCCTTTGTACAGCATGTTTTCTAGTACCTCACTGAAATCCTGATGAAGAAAATGCACATTACTAACTGATTCAGTTGGAAAACATGGCTGTGTTTTCTGGGTACCTTCTTAGCATCTCTAACAGTTCTGAGATCTTAGGATGTTATCTGTGTATGTGGGTACAAGGGAAGAGGGGAGGAAAGGGTGAAAGAGAGGGGAAGAAATATCTATTTCAGAAAGCAAACTTTAAGGGCCAATTTTTATTTAGCATTCCTAATTTTCTGAACATTGTGAAATGAGAAGAGCAGACCATCTAGTAGAAAGCAAAGATATTGGAGAGAAAAGATGGCATGCAGACATAACTGAGATGTGTTATTCATGTTTTAACCTTTCTGTTAAAGAATATATTTCTTCTTATACCTATGAGTTAGCAAAAAAACATTTTTTACCCTGAGTACATGCACATGTGCAATCAGTTCTATACATTCCAGCATATTCACACCCATTCTCTCTAGCTCCCCCTGCCATTTATTTCTTACAATCTAGTCATCATGCCTGTTGTCATATTCTATGAATAAAGTATTGCTTTTTTTTCTCTGTCTGATCTGTAATTCTTCTAAGATTCCTTGCTTTACCAGCCAGCATCTAGGAGAGATGCACACAAGCTTTTCAGAAGAATAAAAGCCATTCAAAAGAAGATAGAGAAGATTCCCTATCTTCTCTCTGAAGATGAATCTGCATTCCCAAAAGTACCTTAACAACTTCTGCATGGGGAGAAAAGATGTTGTTCTGTACAGCATCCTGCCAGGGACCTGAATTACACTTACATGTGTACAGACCTGTTCAATAATATGCACCACACCTGAGACTTCTATAATTGCTTCCCTCTGTAGTTAGAAATGCATTTTATGTATATTCAAGTATTCTCTGGCCTTTCTTTAAGGTCCTGGGACAGATGCAACTGGCTGATCCAAGGATCACCTAATACATGTCATTACACAGCAGGAGAATCTGCTGGGAGCTGTCATTCAGTAGGACATTCCCACAGAGTAAGTTGGTGCCTTCTTACAAAACAATGACCTATCCCACTTGGGGGTTTCATGTGTAGAGAGATAAGACATAGAGACAGTCTGCAGATGTTACATTCATCTATCCAATATATAAATAAAAATATGATGTGGAGAGATATCTGCCAGCCTCTAGATGCTTGGTCAGCCCACAGCCCCTCCTTTTGGTAGTTGGACGAGACATGTCAGCTTCAATACATTTTGTGGGGAGAGATGCCGTGAAGGTTCCTTTTTGATCTCCTTGAATTGTCTGAGTAACAGTCCCATTGTGGCAGATGGTGAGAACAGAAGAAATTGAAGGAGTTAAGGCAAATCTGTCCCTCCTCCACTTGGTTAATTCCCCAGCAGCCTGATCCTCTGTTGTGATAATTCAGGCCAGAGATAGCGAGATAGGCTGCGACAGTCCCCAGGGAGACTCCATAAAAAAAAAAAGACTTTTATTTCCTGTTCAGGAGGATTAAGTGCAAGGCCATTGACAAATCACAGTAAACATCTGGATGAGAGCACTCCATCTATCAGGGCCTAATCCATGAAGTTATTCATTACTGTAGTCAGCAACTTTACATTGTTCTATATATAGTATCAGTTGATCTTTTTTAATGTTCGTCTTGGAGATGTTTTATCAACCGATTTTATTTATTGTGCAGAGCAATCTACTGCATCCTATCTTTGCCTAATTAATTATTTGGAGTAATTATGCCTTTAAAAACAAATGAACATACAAACAAACAAACCATTCAGTGCCATATTTTTCAGAATTACCCAAAAAAATCCTGTTGTTAAAACCCAACTATGTTCCTTTATTTTATGCTGTTTTGCAGTTTTAAGCCTAAGTTTCTCTGGAAACTTTACATCACACCGTCAAGAAAAAAAAAAAAAAAATTGGAATTATTTTTTATTTTCTGTATTTTATTATAATTCAAATTAGAATCACTCTCATTAATCTTCCAGGAGAAAGTAAGCACTGAGTAAATGATCTGGTTAATTCAAAACTAATTTGGTCAGAACATCTGTACATTCACTTGCACAGTAGGAAAGATGCTGAACACTATCAGATATCAAGCTTATTCATTATACTGTGTATCTTATGAATGCAAGCTACTTTGAAAAATAAAAAGACCCACATTTTATAAGGGGAACACTTGCACACAACTGTGTCCTTGGAAGTCGTCTGTCTACCTTGCCTAATACTCATTGCTGCTCACACCAAAGCCTTGCCCATGTACCGCATACATTGTTTTTCACACAGCTGTGCCACCTTGTTTCCAGTTAAATCTGCAGACTTTGACATTGATATTGGTGGGATCAGCATTTAGCCCAGAGGTTTTTATAAGTCCAGTTGCAAAAGGATATTTTCAACCTCAAAATATTGGACTCTACCGAAGAGTATAAATCATCCAAACTTGCAATTTATGATTTCCAGACCTTTTGACTTGCGGAGTATTACTGTGATGTAGTATTTAACTGCAAGGACTTGAAAAGGAAGCAGCAAGATTAGAGATCCTACATAAGACATAAGAATGATTATGCCATCATAGAGAAAATCACAACATGGTACATACTCATAGTATCCTCAACCTGGACTACAGTCTGCTTGCCTCTCACAGCACTTCTGAAAAATTTGCCTTCCCAGTTCAGCAGCTTTTTCCACAATATAGAGGGGTACCACATGTCCACCAAAGGTAGAGCCTTGACAGTTACTGCAAGGAGCAGGTTTGGAATCCGGCCTTTCCCATAGCTGGCCTTGCATCTGTTCTCTGCCATGAACCGGTAACCTAGATCTTGAAATATGAAAACCAAATGTGGGAGACTCCTTTTCTTCCTGAGTGGTCATTCGACTATCCTACCTGCAGTGGTTTTGATTTCTATTTTAGCTTAGGGAGAAGTACAGATGTTACTTGTATTCATTTAAACACAAATCCTTTTACTTTATATTTTACAAAGTCACTTGTCTCAATAACCTGTAACAATGAGTTCTACCTACTGAAAGTCAGTTAAATAAAAGCTGATTTCCTGTGTCATCTTTTGCACTACAAATATATTTCATTTTCATGCAATGCTTTCTTGTTCTGCTTTTGCCATTCAGAATAAATAAGAATTCTGGACCCGTCCTCTCTGCACCATTTTACAACTACTCTAGCTCTTTTTTTTTTTTTTTTTTTAAACTGCATACATGTTGTTTCTATAATCACTCTTTATATGGAGTTACCTCTCCCACATACTTAACTACAATCATTGTCCTTGTCTAAAACATTGCTTTTATTCTGTATCTTTGAAAAAAATATGGTATTGGCAGGTTTTGTTACCTCTTTAGAGAGAAGGAAATGAAAAAGGAATTCCGTATAGAGCAAGTAAAACTCACATATTTTTCTTCAACTCTTCTTTGTTTGCCTGCAATTAGATAACTCTTTGAAGGAACTCAATGAAGGGTGTTGAATTTCCACCCGTACTAAGAATCCAAAGATTTCCCAAGTAACTGCCTCACACCTCTCAATATCAAGCTATGTTTTCAGGGCTCCAGAGGGTAAAAAGGCTGCCACACAAAACAGAAGAGGAGGAAGTCTAATTTTTAAGTTTTCTCTTTCCATTTCATTATAAAAATGGGGCTTATCAGTTTGATGCAAATGTAGTCATTGAAGGCCTATAGGCAGTTTTCTGAAAGTATCTCTCAGAGCAAGACAAAAGCCAGTTCACCTCTCACATTGGTGTATTAGATGCCTAAGGACATAGTGATTTCATAAATAGCAAACAAAAATTCTTGTGCCAATGAGAGGACAGAGACAGACAGCAGGTGCCTTCACATCCAATACATGGAAGTGCAGAGATGAGTACATGAAATTAATTACCAGCTGCATGATGGCGAGATAATGCTTCCACCACAGGTACATCTGGGGTTGCAGGCTGGGCAGAGCCTAATAATCATATATGAAGATGTGTACAAATGAATTCAGCATCCCAATAAGGAAGGCTAAGGAGAAAAGAAGCTGGTATTAGCA